TAGTACTAGTGTACCACTGACAATGAGCTTGTTCTCTTCATCTGATTTGGTTGATTCTGATCTGATTGGAATAAGTTCTGAGATGTGAATATAGTTATATACTCCCTCCGTCCCAAAAAGATTTACACCTTTCAAAAAAATTGCGTCCCACAATCTCCTACCCATTTCTATTAAAAAACCACTTTTACCCCTTACTTTTTCAAACCCTACCTATCATATCATACCTTTTTCCTAATAATCTACACATCACATCCTACTTTTACCCATCACATCAAGGGTATTTTTGGAAAGTCAACACAAAATTATCTCTCCTTTAATTTCAACTTTAGTCAAAACGTGTAAATCTTTTTGGGACGGAGGGAGTATAAAATTATTTCTGATGTGATCAGATTTTAATAAGAATAAATTGAAGAGAACAAGCTTTATATATACATTTCTTGCCATTAGTCAGACTTAACATTTATTCTTTACATGGTATATATAATCAGACCTAACATTGCAAAACTCTCAACATTGTCTATAGGATCATGTTATAGTCACACCACGGATGACACCTAAATTGACACCTCCAATCTTTTACAAACAATGATTTCTCTCACACAATGATTGTTTGTACGTGATTATCAGTGTCAACCTTGGTATCATCCCTGGAGTTAAAGTAACATTACTCTTGTCTAATTGTGTGGTGATGGGTGAATCATGAATGTTGTAGAAACAAGTGATAAAGACGAAGAGTGTGGAGTTCATGCCATTCTCCTTGTCTCTCTTCTCCTTCCTTACTAGTTCACTTTGGATGGCTTACGGGCTCCTCAGCCACGACCTCTTTCTCGCGGTTCGTTCCTTCCTACCTATACCTACAATTTCATGTACTCTTTTTTTTCCTTCCTTGAATCGACATTGTGTAAAGTTCATCGTTTAAATTTTATCATCTTTTTTGTAATCAGTCTCCAAACATAGTTGGATGTCCAGTGGGAGTGCTCCAGATTTTGATCTACTTCAAGTACAAGATGAAGAAGAGGATGGTGACTGAAGAACCAGTGAAATGCGATAATGCAGGGCAATTGATGATCAATGATAATTAGAAGCCCATGGAAGAAACCTCTGCATGCTCAAAATAATAATCACTCCCTACTTAATTGCCAATAACAATCAAGAATATTTATGTAGAAGCTCATGAATGTCTTAAGTCAATTGTAGATCAGGATTGAAATCAAAGTGATTACTGGAGTTCATTAAATTAGTTGTTAGATGTTCCAAAGTTGAACAAACTCGTATGCAACATGGATGTGTTCTATGGTCTATAGAAAACACGTAAACTCTGTTATTTACCTCTGTCCAACTACAGCCCGGAGGTTTCTTTGCGTCCATTCCTTTCATCACATTCCTTGCCTGCATCTTTGCACCCCATCTGCCCAAACCACCATACATGTTTGAAATAATGATGCAGCCAGACAAGGACGTGGGGTAAAACCGGAATAATTTCTCTGCAACCCTCTCGCCAGCTTCCATGTCTGAGCAGAACCAGCAAGCATGAAGAAGAGCTGTGAGTAGTACCTTGTCAGGATCAACCGACATACTGTTCACTACTTCCTCAGCTTCTTTAAGATGGCCTGACCTGCCAAGAAGATCCACTACGCATGTAATGTGCTCTAGTGTGGGTGTTACACCGTACTGTGTTTCAATTTCATGGAAAATTTTCATGCCCTCACTGACCATGCCCGCGTGCGTACAAGCAGACAGTACCCCAACCAATGTTGCAGCGTTTGGATGTACCTTTTGAAGAATATGTCTCACATCATCAGCATATTATAAAAAATAATGTGCTAATATATACTTCCTTTGTTCATAAATAATTGTCCATTATGACTTTCTACGTATTTTGAGAATCAAATGAACGTGGACACAACGTATGTTCACATTCATTCAGTTTAAGGTATGTAAAAAGTCATTATGGGCACAGTTATTTAAGAACGGATGGAGTACTCTATAAGACATTAGGCTACTCATATTGACATTTTAAGATGGTATTTATGAAAACTCCTATGTTATCATGAACGTTTTTAGGAAGTTACTAAAAAAAACTAGAGGTGTAAACATTCAGAACTTGTTGAAGACTTAAAAGAACCCCAAGTGTTGATACCTTTTGCTCCAACATATGGTTGAAGAGTGAGATTGCATGGGAACCAAGCCCATGGTGTGCATACGCATTGATCAAAGCCGTCCAAGCTGCAACATTTGGATAAGCGATTCCCATAAAAGATGCTTTGGCATCGGCTATGGTCCCACATTTGGAATACATATCCACGAGTGCCGTTCCAACATATATGTCGGTGTGAAATGGGGTCTTCATGCAATGGGAATGAAAAAGCCGTCCTTGCAGTAGAGAACCAATGCATGAACATGCATGAAAAAGGGCAGAAAACGTTGACCTCGTTTCGGTAATTGGGACCTGACGCATCTCTAGGTATAGTTTCATTGCATTTTCGTGCTGATCATTTTGAATGTGACCGGAAATCATTGAGTTCCAAGTAATGGGATCTCTCTCTCCTTTAGTTTCTTCAAACAGTTCAAGAGCCTTCTCAATCTCATGGTTCCTGGAATACACAGATATCATTGTATTTGTGGAAGTTAACGTTCTTTCGGGCATTTCAGCAAAAAGCTTCTTTGCCTTCTCAACTTGGCCACCCAAAGCATACCCTTTTATCATCAAATTATATGACGCTGGATTTCTGTCAATCAACCCTTTGAAAACAGATTCAGCTTCTTCAACCTTTCCTGCCATCACAAGACCAGATATCAACACATTTGAATCATTCAAGCAAGGATTTAGCAGCTGGCTGTACACTCTTTCAGCATCATCCGTCTCCATACAAGTGCAATAAAAATCAATGAGTGCTCCCCGGATCGAATACTCCGATTCAAAACCAAATCTAACTACCAGACCGTGAACAGCCTTTCCTTCTGGTAAAGCACACAGTTCGCCACAAGCTCTTATGACACAATCCAAAGTGAACTCATTTGGTACCACATTGTTTCCATTCTTTCTCATCAGCACAAATAACTCCAAAGACTTATGAGATCCCTGTTGAGTTTTCGAGTATCCGGAGATCAATGAAGTCCAGGCAATCACATCACGACATGGCATTTTCTTGAAGATCCTTAAAGCATCGTTAATTAGGTTACACTGTACATACCCCACAAGCATCAAGCTCCAAAGCAGCTCATTCCTTTGATGCAATTCATCAAACACCTTACCGGCGTCATCAATCTCATGAGTACTCGAGTAGAAGTACAGCAAAGAACTCCCAACAAGCTTGAAGTTTTCGGACCCAGACTTCAGAACCAAGCCATGGACTTGTTTTCCTTCCCAGGACGACCCTGAACGAGCGCAAACGCTCAGAACCGAACAAAGAGTGGACTCATTAAATCTTGTTCTGCTGCGATGCATTAAGGAAAGAAAACTAAAAACTTCTCCGTACTTTCCCCGCTGTGCGTATCCAGAGATCATGGTGTTCCAGGAGACGACGGTTCGGTCGCGCATTTCGTCGAACAGCTCCCGTGCTTCTTCGAGACGGCCACATTTGGCCAGCTTGGTGATGCTAGTGTTGATAGTGACGACGTCGGAGACTGCGATTCCGCCGGTTGTCGTGCTCAAGAAGATTCTTTTCCACCTACTGTGCTTCAACACTCCCGTGAACGGTAATCTCCTGAGCATTCCAAGCTTCTTCCGACTAAGCCCTTGTGCATGTACCGAAGATTCTTTGACTCAAAACTTCAAAAAAAAAAAAAAAGCAAAACTGTGATTGGTTAACCGGCATGACCCGAGACCATGGTATCCAGTGCCTAGACCCGAACACATTCAACACCCTTTCAATTTCATCCTCAAAATTACATTCTCAAGTTAATACTACATTACTACCTTCATCCTTGATTACTTGTCTAATTTTGACTTTATAATTAAATAAAATATATATTGTATTTTAATTAAATAAAATAATATTTTGAAAATATTTGATATAATAAATCTAATAAAACTCTTTTTGTATCAATATCTAATATCATTTTTATTTAATTTGAAATCAAAGTTTACCAATTTTGATAAAAAAAAATCAAAAGTGGACAAATACTCAGGGACGCAGGGAATATTCACTTTTGAGTTAATTTTGACTCCAAAATCAAAATTAACTTGGGAGTGCAATTGAAAGGGGTAAGGGTGTCTTCGGGTCGAGTAGGGTGAGAGGGTTTATAGAAGGATAAGAGGCGATAAGAACTATTAATTTTATGAACGAAATATTGTAGCGGCCTGAGTCATCCAATGACATGAGATTCCAATGTCATGGAAAATCTTGCAAAATAAAAATTCACATGTTTTCACTTTTAATACATTTCTTAAATTTAAAATCAATTTTATTGTGAAAAAACGGGTGAAAAATATTTATATACTCCCTATTCTTGTTAGTCTCATTCAAAAAAGAGTTAGCATTTCATTATTTAAATCACACCCATTTCATTATTTAAACCACGTCATTTTTTAAAACCTTGCTCTCTCAACTCTCTTTAAAAAAGTAAATTTAATTAATTATTTGAATTAAATAAATTGTAAAGATAATTCTTTATTTGTAAAAATACTATTGCTTTTTCAAATTTTTTAAATCATATGATTAAATTTTTATACACCTTCATCATGACTTTATGTTTTTGTTATCTTCTCTGTGGCATTTCACACGTAAAAATATTACTTTAATTTACGTTATTTGTTGAAGTTAATTATTGAAAAAATATATTTTATAGTGTTTGCCTATGTTACATTTTTAAAAAGATATTTTAATTTTTTTATAAAAGAAATCTATTATTAAATCATAGTATCAAAATGCGTTGCATTTTGATATAGATGTTTTAGATTTAATACAAAACATTTGCTAAAGTTAATTATTTGAAATTTAATTTAATATTATAAAAATAGTTGTAATAAATTGATGAATTGGCGTATGTAGACCTCTACTTGAAATAAGAAAAATATAAGATAAATGAAATTTGATGTGACACTGATATAGAGAAAAGAGATGATGTACTCCGTAGTAAAAAAAAGTGTGAAAGGGATGTATACTTTTCATCCTAATAAATGATATGTTCATACCAATTTTATACTTCATTGTTCATACTAATTATGTTTCATGTAATTTTAACTTTTTATAATCAAATTTAATAACTTTGATTGTAGATATTAATACAAAATAATTTAATTAAAATTATATAGTAAAATATTTATAAAACATTACTTTCTTTGATTAATATACTATATATGTACTTCTTAATTTTAAAGTATTTATAAGTCAAAAATTAATTCTAGTCGACGATAAAATATTGAATCTGGACAAATATTTTGAGACTTAAGAGATCAATATATCATATTATTTTTATTTAATTATACGTCAAAAATTGGAGACATGAGTAATTTTTTGTATTTCATAATTTTTGTTGCATATCTTGTTTTAGATAGATATTTCTTAACAATAATCCGTTGACATCGGACAATAGTACCACTAGCGAGGTCACTACGTCTTTGGAGCACCACCAGTGCTCTAATATGAAAATGAATGGTTTTTACTTCTCTTAACCCAACACTTAAACTCCTCACCTTAGCCCCATCCCATTCCTGCCCCAAGCCTTTTTCCAAATATGTGTCTATTATGCTTGGCTGGAAAAAAAGAGTAAATTTTGAAATTGGTTCTTTATAACACGAAATTTTCTATATTTAGTATTCTATTATTAAATATTATCCAGTGATCTTTCTTTTATGTGAATTTTTCCACGAATACTTCTTTTTTGACATTATGTTTTGTTGGTGTTGATTTGAGAGCTAAAAGGGTAATTTAAAATCTACTTTATGTCTAGTGACGTACTCTGACAAACAATATTTTTCTTAGTAATGGACGAGAGAACAGAGAACAGAGATTCGTTTCGAAGACTAGCTTTCCGTACCGACAAAAGCACGCGGCCACCAGCTTTCCCAAAATAAGGGCGACCTCAGTTTCTTCCCGACCTAGTTTCCAGCTGACTCCTTTTCAATAGAAAAGAATAGCCAAACCAGAAAATTAGTAGAATGTTCATGTCCTTACACGCCGATCATTAGAAATTCACGAATTAGAGATCGCTCGTTCAACTGTCCCTCGGAGACAGGGTCGAGAAGTACCATCCCCTTTCGTCGGTCAGATGGATAACACAACAATAATAATTATGACTGTTGACTTGAATTTCAACGAAAGATCATATTTGTAGATTATGATTGTCTTAGAAAGCAACTCCAATTCACATACAATATGTTGAGAGCAACATATAGAATTGCATATGACAGAAATGATATTTGATCATTGTAAAATTATACTAGATGTGAAAAGAACTTCATAAAAAAGGATTCCTGGAATAATATTTAATAATAAATGGCTAAATTAGTAAAAACTCTTGTTATAAAAGACTACTTATAAAATTTACTCAAAAAAAACTACAAATTAAAAACAGAAACAGTCAAACATAGGAAATATAAAACAGGCTTAGGCCTATTTATAGTCCAAGCCCTAGAATATGATTGGGCCGGAAATTAAAGGAGCCCTATTCTAGCCCAACTATAATTGCTTCTCCCCAAAAATTTTCACCATCCTTCTTTCCAGTTTCCGGCCTCCTCTCCGATTCCAATTCCAGAACTCGCCGTTCATCCAGGTACTTCATCTTCTTCACCCTCTTATGCTTCAACTTCCCAGCTCATAGAATATTCTCGATCGAAGATTGTTTCAGTTACGAAACGCAAAATGTTTGTATCGTTAATAAATATTTAGATCCATCCTCGGAATTGCAAATCTGAACGCTAATCTGCACTAATTCAGTTTTTTTTGTTTGCATGTTTATAATGTTACAATATATTTTTCTGTGAGTGCGTGTATCGAATCTGTGTTTCTTCAGTTAAAAATTTAGGGCATTTCAATAAATCATCCGTGTTCCGTTGTCCACTTTTCAAAATACTCTGTTCGTCCCGAAATGAAAATTTACTGTTTGGCTTCTTGGAATTTAAGAAAACTGTTAAAAAGTATGTAAGCTACAACAAACCCGGTAGAATACGCGGAATTAGGACCTTACCCTTACTTGTGGAATAGAGAGAATAGAGAGGTTGTTTTCAAGAGAAGCCCGACTCTAAGAATAGAAATCAGTGAAAGATAAAAAGAGAGAAAAAAGATGTACAAATATAGGACTAAGCACCCACCTAACTACAACAAAATAGGGCACTAAATCCTACGCAAGGGTAGACCATGCCCTTCCCAGCACGTGCCCAAATCATCCGAGTCTAGCTTATAAGAGAGAATATTGTGTTGTACTCCGGGGTACATATTTTTTTCCTTTATAGAGATGTAAGGAAGTGTAGCCTCATAAAAAAGTCCGGGACATACTTGAATCAACTATTTGTGAGAAGTTCTATCATGGACCTTAGGTCCACATGTATTTTCTCGCATTAATTTTACTCTGTCCCAATTTAAGTCGTTTGTTTCGGTTTACGATGTTTGACTGAAGTTATTTTCAAATCATTTTATATGAAAAACGGTGTAGGATTTAAAAATAAAATTACTTAGTTAAAAACTACATCAAAATATCTACGAAACTAGTGATGACATGACTATATTATTTTAACAAATGACCTAACAAACATAGGGAAAGAAAGTGAATGAAGTTTGACCATTTGAATAGTAAACATGCAATTTAATTTGGGACAGAGGGAGTAGTAAAAGAGTTTATCTTAGTAGTAGGTAAATGCTCATTTGTCTGATATGAAGGTCTACTATGGACTTAAGGTCCATCCAAGAATCTGCCTCTATTTGTAGTGTCATTATTGTTGTCACTATTAGGATGGATGTTGAGAAATTTGAATTTTAGATGTTTGTTTGAAATCTTTTTGTTGTGATGTAAAAACTTACAAAGGTTTTTTTTTCAAAAGTTAGAGAATATTTGGAAAAGGGGAAAATACTACATATTTCTAAAAAATAGAGAATATTTTTGGTAAGAACCTGCTGTAGCTCCAACCCTCCAAATGGAGCTGCTGGGGATGAAGCAGACAATTCACACGAAATAGAGGGCTATAGGCGAACACAAATGCAAACTAAGCCATTTAAATGCGTTTGACATTCATTGATATCGACAATGTTAATTGTTAGGAATCAAAGATCAGAGGCGGTCAAGCGGAAGTGAACAAACACACACACGCAAATAGCAGAAAATAAGAACACAAGATTTAACGTGGTTCGGTCAGTAACCTACTCCACGGGTTGCAACTAGGGTTTATCTTTTATTAGGTACTCACAGATTATAGTTACATGATTGGGTATTTATAAGATATAAACTAGGGTTAACAACTTGCTAAACAAGAAACAACTAATGGGCCCTTTAATTAATAACTGAAACCGGCTCCCCATGTTTCTTCCCTTTAACCGACCGGGCTTAAAGCCCAAAGCTCTAAAGCCTTCACCGAATAACCCAACAATCTCCCACTTGAAGGCTTTCGCATAGACACAAATGCCATCCAAGTAAACCCATCAATCTTCACTGTCAAGTCCTCCAAGCCTCCAGTCCCAAGAACAAGCTACGACTCCAGTTATATCCCCTAGTTGCAACCACCCCCTTCATTAATAACCTGAAAGGACAGTTGAAGCTCCACCGAGCTCCAACCCAGTCGTGCCTGTATCC